TTAGGAGGCCCGAAGAAAAATGTAGGTAGGGAAACTTACAGAATTATTGCCGGGAAAAAGTCATATGTAGCTTGCGTTAAATTAAAAAAATAATAATCAACAATAAATTGAATAGAACTTACTCTTTCGAAAATTCACCTGCAGCTTGCAGACCTGTGTCAGTAGGTCACTGTACCGATCCTGGTCATCGACGACCGAAACGGTTTATGGCAGGATATCGCCCAGTCCGCAGGTGATCGCAGGTTATCCCATCGAATACGTATTCGCTTCATTGCACGACCACTAACACTGATCGGCCGACACCGGCACGTTATGCATGATTTTCTTACATTTATGTTTCATTCATTCATCACTTTAAATGACAAACGAAAGATGATGAAATGTTCGATTTGTTATGTTTTTCTTATTTGCTATTATACGCGATTTCCTCGGATGCATGCCGACTTGCTTGTTCGGAGCGTCATAGTACAAGCGTAGCGCGTAGCCAAAGCTAGCGCGGGAACTCGTCTGGCAAACTCGCGCTCTGATTGGTCGGGGTTTTTCGTTAATATCTGGTTAACAAAGCCTCAGATAACATTTTCGCTAAGGAAAAAGTGATTTCAAAACATCTCAGCATCCCCTCATTTCCCGAAAGACAGACATTTTTAAGACACCCTGTATAACATGCTGCGGATACCCTCGGTGTCTTTCGGGCGTTTCCTAGGAAACCTGACCATTGAACGGTTGAGTTATGATTCTAAGGTAAATGTTCCAGTGGTTTGACACTGTTTGTTAATATTAAATTTTTTTAAAATAATAGCGAACTTCAGTATAGAAAATAATTATCCTTAGTTATTTCTTATCATACATCGTAGAAAAATGTTCGCAAAAGCGCGATGCATTATTTAAAAAAAATATTATCATTTAGTAATCATGAACTTGAGCCGACATAAATACCTTCGTAAATGTTTCGCTAACATTGAGAGGGCATTTAGTAAGCTCGTAAATGATAAATAATTCGTATGTTTCTAATAAGTAAAGGTTTCTTGAACTTATTAAAGTTTCTAGAATTGATACCAACTTCGTTTTAATAAAACCTTCTCCTTTTAATGTCGAAAATACCGTGTTTATTTACTGGTACATGAGAATGCTGATTGCGTAGTCGTTGGACGCTTGTGCAGTCATTCGAGCAGCATCGAGCAGAGAGTTAGTGTATGACTTAATAAATTATTTTTGTTATATTACAGTAGGTATTTTTGTGTTTTTTATATTAATAACAATATTTCATTTTGGAAGCTCATAGTTTTTTTTTACATATTTCGTACATAACTATCATATTACTTTAAGACATCCGTGACCTAAGTGATTCGCGTACTGAACATTCATTAAAAACCACCTTTTTATTTTATTTCTTTTGTTTCGAGACTTTTTTATAACAATAAGACTTTTAAGAAGAAGAATTAAAGGAGCGCATTTAAAAAGAAAAACTAGAAGAGAAAAAAAAAAACTTTGAAGCCAAGAAAGTTGCAAAAAGTGTTAAAAAAATCAAGAACCAAAAAAGGAATAATTTTCATTTTGTTGATTTTAATGCACAATTTCCTAAATGGTCGGGGTTTATTCGTTAATATCTTATTAACAAAGCCTCGGATAACATTTCTCGTCAGGAAAAACTTGTTCGAAATCACCTCACAAGTGACCCATTTCATGAACCTTATACTCTTTTGTTAGACCCTGCATACTCACAGATATGAAAATATACATGATACGAATCTTTTATTTATTAGCTACATGGTTACAGTGCGAACAAAAGGCTTAGTAATTTACCTACACTAAAATCTACTAAACATTTCATACAAAAAAAAACACTTTTCATATTACGATCACGATCGAGGTAATCCGACCGAGTGAAATTACGTAATTCCAAGGATAATTGGATAGAATTGAACGAGACTGAAGAAACAGAGGGAGACGTGGATAGGGGTGAATTGATACAAGTAAATACGAGTACATTACTCGATAGTTTTGTTTCGATACCGAGTACTTTTGGTCTCGGTATGTACGGTTGCGATACCAAGTAGGTATCGAAAAAACGACTCGTATCAAATGGAGTGAGTACCGACACATCAACATCTGATATTGTAATTACTTTCAACACGAACGAATGTTGTTTACATTAATAATTAAGCAATGTGTATTTAAATATTTTCAGTGTTAAGATAATATAGGCATTGATGGTTAGGTGTGAGCTTCCAAAAATGGTATTTTCAAATATAGAACAAGTTTTCCTGTACTGTTTCCTGCAGCATCTCCATCTACCATCTATGTTATGTTTGACATAACCTTGTTCAATATGAATGCTACCTCCCCAATGAAATATTTTACTACTTAAATTTAGCAAATTTAATTCACTTGATAATATTTTATTTAATTTTATCATTAATAAATGAATTATTTATGTTACTGATGAATCTTTATTTATTTCTTTGTTTTTACAAAAATAAGGAGGCTTTCCCATTTTTCTAAGTACAACATCATTGTCTTGTTATATATTCTACAATTTTACTGGGTTTATTTTTGCAATATACTTAGAAAAATGGATTCGTTTGGTTTGTCTAGATATTTTTGAGGCCGTCTTGCGTCGTAGATCGTATGTCCCAAATTGAATATTTTCAGAATATCTCTGAAACTAAGTCTTATGCTTGTATAAATAATATCTGATAATGAATACCTACATACAGATTGATTTATTATGTGTTTTTATATGTTTGTTTATATGTTTAGTTATATTGATTATTTAAATAAATATATGAAGTATAGTATTGTATTTCATTTTCTCTCAAGGTATAAACAACTTTTGTGTTGGATCTCAAGGTTAGGAAAACATAATTCGATACTTTTGTTTCGATGGCGAGTAATTATCGATGCCTTCATACAATACTAGGAATGAGTAAAAGTATTGACACCTTGGCGGTATCGATTCAACCCTAGACGTGGAATACCCGAAGCGTATTTCCCCGTCGGGAATCGTGCTCCTCCAAGAGTGCACATTTTCTTCGTGAAACACGGATAGAGCACGCTAGATAGGTCCACCGCTTGTACCGGCCTCTTTTGTAGAATATCGATGAATAAACAGGCAAGAATTGCGATAAAACGCCCGGAGCCTTCTCGGTTCACCGGCACGTTATGCATGCGGGAGACCAAGGGCAAAATGACGGAGGTGGCAGCGTTGATGATGGTGCTGATGCAAAACACGATAATAATAATGACGACGTAGACGTCGTTGGGAATGAAACGGACACGCGTCTTGCCGCGTCTCCCGCATTTCACGGAGTTTTATGCAGCTGCCCAGAGTCGACGCGCTTGCGATCTCTCGGGCTAGCGGGATGAACACGCGATGATCGGGGGACCGGTACCTCTCTTTCTCTCTCAGCCGGTCACGGGAACCGTCGTTACCTCTATCTAAATCCTCTGTCTGCGACTTTGGGGCAACGGAATAATTAGAAGAAAAGAAGGAAGCGTTAGCCCTTCAGCCACCGATTCACATGACTCGCTTTGTTTCGGATTAAGGGGAGGTTCCGATCGAAAATCCGCAAAAATAAGGTCAATGTCCCTATTTCTAATCATGTAAGAGTTCTGCTGTCGTAGAAATTGATTTTCATTATTTATTTATGCAAGAATCAACAAAAAAACGTATTATATATAAAATTGAAATCCCCTTTATAACACTAGTTTACAAAATCCAAAAAATTATATGTGATCGAGAGTCCACTATGAAATTCTTATGTGAGATTGTCCCCTAAATTCAAAAAAAGACATGAGACAAAATCCTAAGGATACGTTTTTGAGATATCGCCTGATGAATATTTTGGTACTTTTTTAAAAAGACGACCCGACGTTTTTGGCCATATCTCACGTTACAGTTGACCGATTTGATCGCGACGAATCTTAAATTAAAGGTAATTAAATAATATATGCAATTCTTTTTGGGGCCGAAATTGAAAGCGAAAATTCACTAGATCGCCTGGAAAACATAGAAATTATTATGTGACGTCCAGTTATTTATTTTTTATATAGAGTACACACAACCCAACCGGAGCAAAATCCATGGACAAATAAGGAAGTTATGGGCGATAGAGTGGGATTGCCTATTCTCAACGTTTTCCCTATTTTTGTATTTTTTCCACGTATTTATTTATTTACGAAGAAAACAAATTGAAATGTATTTCATTTTATTTTATTTTATTTTTGAAACGCAATTTGGGTTCTTTCTGTGTCTTCTACCCGCATTGATATCAGTTTCTCTTACAAGGAACCAGTCGTAGTCACCAATCATTTACTCATCCCAGAATTCTTGATAGCGTCTCTCAATACTTTTCATCTGCTGATGAAATCTCTCGCCATTTCATTGCTTACAACGCAAAGATTTGGTGGGAAGAAATTCAAATACGAGTGGGGGAAATGGATCTTTAAAGACATGTTAACGCCTATATTTAGGGAATAAAGAAGTAAAAAGCATGTTACAGCAGAAGATCGATACTTAAATGTCAACGTCATAGCGTCACAGTGCCGGCAACGAACAATAATAAATAGACAAATTTTCTTACCTTACAATAGATGGCGTTGGACACTTCAGTAGTTAAAAAATTCGAAATATGATTGAAGAATAACATTAAGAATAAATAAAGACGTGGAAAAAATACATTTAAATTTGTTTTCATTGAAGACAAATACGTAATTCACCAAGAAACGGGAAGAAATAGAGAAAAAATTGAGAATAGGCACTCCCACTTTATCGTCCATAACTTCCTTATTTGTCCATGGATTTTGCTCCAGTTGGGTTGTGTGTGCTCTATATAAAAAATAAGTAACTCGACGTCACATAATAATGGCAGCAACGTGTTAAAAAAGTCATACCCTGAACCACTTGAGACTTGAAAAAGATATCAAACAACGTTCGTGCTTGACTAATTATACTGCTAGAAGCATGCAGCTAAATGTGAATACTTTTCATGTCTTTGCAGGAGGAGTACAGCCAACGCAGACGCCTATCCACTCCCAGCGGCAGTCCAAGTCCGCCAAGACCGACGAGGCTGTCAAGATCAACAGGTACACTTACCAGAGACGAGGAAACCTCGTTTTGCAATTCGACGAACACCCTTACCAGAGAGAACCAGGGACAAGAAGCCGAAAGAAAGGGATGGTTCAAGTCTTTATCTAGGAAGAATAAGTCGAACATGAAGGTGAGCTTGAATTTCCAGCGATAAATACTGCCTCTTGACACGATAAATCGATACTGGTTTCTGTTCGTACAGACTACAGCCGAATCTCCAATAAACGATGCCGAAATTACACAATTTCAAATTACCGATTCATATTTTTCCCTTCACCTTACAGTACACTCAAACCAGTTTTTGTGCCGTCCTTTTCTGTGCAATTTTTTTTATGCGGTATATAAAAAAAATGTCCATCAAAAAGCATGATATGAATAAAAAGTAATAAAAACTAAGAAATACAAAAAAAACGATAAAATAGAGTCATTCCACGAGAAATCGGACACCTTTTGGAGCTCCATTTCGAATTTTGTTTCAATTTGGATATGTTGTAGTCTTTATCGATATACAAACGTATCTCGAACGATTTTTGAACATTTTTAAAATTGTAGGTTTTGCAGCTGTTTGAAATTTAGAGTCAAATTTTCTTCAATAGATCATAACTATTAAACTAATAAACTGATCGAAATGAGCTTTGCGGGAACGCTTCAGGACTACATAGTAAACGTAAATAAAAAAAATAAAAGAATTTCGTAGATAATTTAAACAAAGTTATATAAACAATAAAAAAACGTTATCAGAAATGTTTACCATGTAATAGAGAAGCGTTTCAGCATCTTCTTCAATAAAGACATTTTTTGAAAATATCTCGATAACTAGTATTTTTTTGCTATGGTACTCTAATACTTCTTTATGTGGAATGATCAGAGGAATCGGTCTGTGCAACAAACAATTTACATTTCCATTCAAAGAAATGATGCAATTGTCAATTGCACATGCACTGTTGTACTTAAAAAAAATCTAAGGGCCCGCAGATGTAGTGCTCTTCGAGCCATTTATCTTTCTCCTTCGGCATTTTTTCATAAATACATTAATAACGAAATTATGACCTGAAACAATTGCATGAACCACCCTGTATAGTAGACTAGAGACTATTTCTGCAGAACATACAAGAAGAGTTTGTGTTTAAATAATTTCACGTTTATTTACATTTACTGTATAAAATATTCGTCCAATTCAGAATGTCAAACGAATACGTAATGCAATTTTTAATAATAACTAGGAACATAAAATATTCTAGTTCGTGACATCATTCATTCGGAATGGTTCTCCAAAGTAATCAAATTCAACAAATGTATCCGCAGGACTCACTCCGAAATTGGTAACGTGTGGGCGATGTTTTTCTAGAGAATGGCTCTCGTGGTTTTAAATTTTGTGGCGTACATAAGGCTACGATAAACGCCTCCACGGTCACGCGACACGTTAGCACGAAAAATTAAACATTTTATCGCCAAAAATGGTTATTTGCTTGCTCCGTCGAACGACATCCTTTTTCTTTGTTTTCTTTTTTAAACGTTGCGTAGGTATTTTGCCTTGTATTTATTCTGTATTATATCGACATGTGTTTATGAATCATCTTCTATACAGACAATTATATTTTTCTCCAAGACAATAGGAAAAACCCGGTTTCCTTAAGTCCTCAAACTACATCTTCTAATATTGTTTAGTAACTATCTATGGTCAACAAGAGGGTATAATGCACACGAATAACAATAAAAATTCTAGGACACGAAACAATACTAAAAAAGGATTGTCTTAAAAATGTACACATTTTGTAGGTTTAAGAACTTTCTAAACATATTTTCATTATCGACGATCAAAACAGAACCATAAATAGAGATAATCGACTAATTCATATACTTGACAGCGGAGGTTCGTATGGTTTTGCATTAACGGTAAACTAGAAATAAATTTCGACTATTATTTAATAAATAGTATTAATCGCGATAAAAAAGTTAAATTCTAAGTAGAATCTGTATACATATATTTTTAATTTTGTGTTTACTTGAACACTGCATACATAATCGATATACTGTGTGTCATGTAACTGATTGTATAGCCGGGTAGGAAGTGATTCTTCGTAAAAAAATAAGTCGAAAATATAAAATAAAATCTATTCATTTGAGACTTCTTTTTCGAGAAAATCGACTTCCATAATATTGCATGCGTATTCAGCAAATGTTCTAAATCGAGTTTCTCGAAAACGAAGTCTCAAATGAAAAAATTTTATTCTATATTTTCGATTTACTTTTTTCACGTAAAATCACCAGTTACATGACACCTTGCATATAGTTACGAAGGGTTAGCAAAGAATTAGAAAAGGGGGTGTCTTTCGTCTTTAGTATAAATACCTATATCCTGTAAATAGAAAAATTATTTAATTTTATTTGTAAGAAGAATGTGACATAATATACAAGACAGAAAGTATTAATTCATTAGATATTTATAGTATTATTACTCCTTATTACAATATGAACATTAATAATAAAATAAATAATAATAAACTTTTGAAAGGGAACTCAACATTTTTTTTATTCTGATTTTTTTTCCATAACATTAATTCTGTAGCTTTAATTTTTAAGTGAGTAAATGTAGTCGAAAATAGGTTAGGTTACGCTGTCATCAGTCCGCAGTAATAAACACACCTACATGGTGTAAAGTGTAAAGTACTGCACCTAACACTGCGGTAAAAAATAAAAATTAAAAATAAACTGTAAATGAATGATGTACTGTTTTCATGAAAAAAGAACTCTTACTCTATGGAGTAATAACGCTACATTACGGATATTACTGTTAATAACAAAGATATAAATGTCTTTTTAAGTGGGCGTTCAAAACCGTCACGTTGGAAATCGATCGAAGCGTCGTCTTGACGAATTTCAAACTACAATAAAAGAATTAACCTTTTGAGCGCTATGAACACATATATGCGTTCGGCAAAATCCTTCACCATGGGCTATGAACGCAAATATGGGTATTCAGCCCACAGCACACGCTTAACGTCGCAAAACTCAGCGCTCAAAGGGTTAATAACAACTTTGCTCTACATATTTACTATTTATTATTTGTAATAAAGTTTAAAATAATTTTATCATTAATGTTCAGAAGCTTATATACTTTCCAACATATATTATTCGTTTTATAAATATCTGCAGTAATCGGTACATCCGCAGTAATACCCACACTTACCCTAGACTCCTTCCGATAGCTACCAAGTAATGAAGCACCATTTTTGGCGCGCGTTTCAAATTATCATGCGTCGCAGCGCCAGCATTCAACATCGCCCGCAGTAAGATTTCGAAACGGAACTCAGTGGAACGATTACAAAGTGAAACATTTTCGTAAGTTAAGTCCGATAACTAGCGGGGATCGGTACGGGGTCGGTTCACAGTTCATCTAACTATCGGTGCATAGTTCCGGTTATCGGTTCGCAGCGAGCCGTGAGTGAGCCCCGGCTCTCTCGCATTCATCAGTCAGTCCAGGTCGCTACGGAGCGGCGAGCCATTAGGCCAGTACAACCTCCAATTACCAGTTTGATTAAATGCTTAACTAACTCCGCGCTCTGTGGTTTAATTTAATCGCGAGATTAAGTGCCGATCAAGAGGCTGCCTAGCTTAACCATCGGTCCATGGAATAATCTCTGTCAGGGACCGATTCCGATCCTATGGGCTGGCTGCTCTCCGATAGGCCCGTTCGGGATGATTGCGTGCGCGTGAATCTCGCTGTGGACGATGATCTATCGGATGAGCTCCGACGGTCCGTGAAAGAGAAGAGAAGTGAAGGAGGAGGGTGGAGGAAGATCATGACTCATGAAGGCTCCAAGGATAGAAACGAGCCCGGGAAGCTGGGTGATTTTTCTCCTTCTGCGCGAAGAATATACACCTTTCTGGTCGGCTTTATTGTATTTCGTGTACACTAATGTGCAAACTCGGCTTCCGCTACCGAAAAAAGTGGCGTAGAAGAAGGACCTCCTACCAATTAGTAAATTTATTTCAACTACTGAAATAAATGCTAAATTGAATGTTAATTTGGCATAAATTTCAGTAACTTCGAAAACTAAATGGTAGGTGGCCCTTCGCCTACCTCACTTTTTCCCCTAGCGAAAGCCGAGTTGCACGTCAGTGTACCTACCGTCGAAACCTACCCTACTGGTCCTTCTATCCATGGAGAAATCACTCGTTTCACCTCGTTTTTCTCATTTCCACTAAGATGAGAATATATATAAAAATTTTAATTATCGTTAAACAGATGATGGTACGACGGAGTGACTTGAAAATACGTAGGTATGTTCAGTAGGTGCATAGTTCTCTCCCGTACCAGAATGAAGTTGATGATATTTGTAAATTCGAATTTTGCAACTTGAAAAACGAGTGACTTTTTTCGCAAATCGGCACTTTTTTGCAAAACTCCGCCATTTCGTTATTTTTCAATATTTTTTACCCATTCTAGTACGGGCGATAGCCACGTTCATACAGATTAAGAATTTTTGTTAATTTTTTGTTTGAAATAACGTAGACAGCTGATATAATGGCAAGCATGGTGGCACCTTTCTTTTAGGCAGTCCCGGAAAATTACAATAACTTTTAATCTATACTACATTTTCAAATGAAAAAAATTAAGCTTATCATATTAGTGTATACGAATTCATAGAAAAAAGTTTAACATCGATATACCTTATAGTTTTTCCTGAAACAGTTCCTCAATTTCGCCAAATTTTTTACTCGTCACAGTAGGGAGACTCCTTAAAAGAACTTTTTTCAGAATTTTTTTAAACATAATGAAACTTTCATTATTAATTTCTTACCGTGAACATATAAACTACAATGTACAAATCTCATCTGAAACTTCTTTTGTGACTTAATTTAACGAATAGTTTTTGAACAACAGCTGATTGAATATTCGTTTTGGTCAAATTGACCCAGTGGGACAACTGCGTTTGAAGGAGGTATGCCAGCGGGGGGTTAAAGAAGAAATTGTTAGGTTATTCTATTAGAGCTCTTCCTATTTTTCATGAATGTAATTTACTACTGTAATTGAAATGTTTAATGATAGTTCCTTGGCCGTTAATCTTTGGATCTCCTGAACCCTATTAAATAGCAGCCAATAGGTAATGTGTTAACACGTTTCTCTCTGTTACCACGGTGTTTCCGTTCGCCAACGGTTGCCCGCAATTTTTCCGCGAATCTCCGTGACCGTTACTAGCCGCCGTACGCTAACCAGCGATTTTGCTTGTTCCAGGCAGTGGATAAGAAGCCCAGAATACCAGAGAGCGAGATCTTGACGACCGGCACCGAGGACGAGGAGGCCTCGTCCGCGCCCGAACGAGTCTCGGTACAGAAGAATTTACGTTTCTTCGGAGATACCGATCAGGAGTCCGTTTCGTCTAATAGAGACCGCAGGTAAGTTGAAATAGGTTATGTCTTCTAACGCGAGAATCAGCGCGGGGAATATAGGCAATAAGTATAGTGTGGTTTCTGCGAAATACAGGATTAGTCTAAAGTACTTCGATACTATACTGTACCTTCGGCAGCCTAAATAGTAACTATAGTAAGTAGGCAAATAATACTATTAGGGTCATTCCACGCGAAATCGGACACTTTTGGAGCACCATGTCGGATTTTGCTCAAATTTGGATATGTTGCAGTCTTTGACGTTATATAAGCGTATCTCGAAGGATTTTTGAAAATTTGAGAAATTGTTGACTTTATAGCTGTCTGAAAGTTAGGGTCAACGTGTTTTCAATAAATCATAACTATTGAACTAACAAACTGATCAAAATGAGCTTTGCGGGTACTTACTGTGAAGACATAAGAATGCCAAATAAAAATTATTTCAGTTATAAAAAGATATTTTTTAACCATTTATTTTGCAATTGTTTTAAATAAATACCCTTGTTTTTATACCAGGGAACTATTTAAAACTTTGAAAAAAAAATAAGGATACAGCCCTATTTGTCCTCTTTGTGGACATATCTTCGAAAATATGGACACTTTAAAATTGGCCGTACGAAAATTAATTGAAGTGAACGCTGCATCGAATTACACGTGCTCGACCGACCAAGCCGTGTGGCACTAGGCTAGCCGGTACGGCTTGACCGGTCCAGTCGATGGGTTTCAACGCAATCAATTTTAATATGGTCATTTTAAAGTCTCCACATTTTTAAAAATTTATCCATAAAGAGGATAATTACGACTACAACCTAAATTTTTTTCAATTTGTTCAATTGGGCCCTACTATTATGAAATTACATTTCTTAATAACAATTGCAAAATAAATGGTTAAAAAATTTTTTTTTTCACTGAAACAATTTTTATATGGTACTCTTATGTTACTTATGGTACTCGTTTGTTAGTTCCATAGTTACGATTTATTGAAAAAGGTTGACTCTAAATTTCAAAGAGCTGTAAAATCAACAATTTTTCAAATTTTCAAAAATTCTTCGAGATACCGATCTACCAATCGCAGCGTATTGCCGACGTTACCGCGGGAACTCGGCCGGCAGACTCGCGCTCTGATTGGCCAAGGTTTGACGTTAATATTTCGTTAACAAAGCTTCAGATAACATTTTTGGTAAGGAAAAAGCTTGTTTCAAATGACCTCAGGAGACTCCCATTTCCGAGTACTCCAACATTTTTGTCACACCTTGTATATAGTACGATACAGGATTGGCCTGAAGTGTTCTAATAAATTAACCCTTTCGTGAGCAATTTTTTTTAAAGAATTGGCTGCTTATGCACCAAATGTCTGTAATGAATACTGAATTGAGATCAATATTTGTTATCTCTCAAGCTTTCGCATTATTTTGAAAAACCCTGGGTGATGTGAACAGGGAAACAGGTTTTGGAAGAAAGAAATTTTTATAAGGGATGGTTTTATTAAAATAACTTTATTCTTATTAGATCGTTATATACAGAGGTTGAAGAATTACTTCTCATGGAATCTTTCAAAACAATAATTTTAATGCCGATACATTGTAACTTTCAATTACCATTCTGTTCCGATTGCAATCCGTTCAGACATCAAAGTCTATTATGATTCCATACTTTATGATTAGGTACTTTAAATTTAATGAAATTATCGTAATGTTGAACAATTGGTAAAGCAATTAATTATCATTCGCAGAAACAAACGAGCCGACGACCATGCCTGTTCAGGGCGTGATGTTACGAATTCCAGCCGCCATAACTTGGGCATCCTGTCGCCGCCACGGAAACCACCGAGACTAGCTGAAAGCGCGTTGTCTTCCGGTGAGAGTACAACAGGGGACAGCAGTCAACAGAGTCAGAACTCTCAGAGATCACAGAGGTCGGTTGTATACCTTCATGCTGCTACAGGTAGGTCCTCTAATGTCAATATGCACAATTCATTCAAGCACCCACTGTAGGTACACTGGTGCAAATCGATATTTTCAAACTTTGCTACCATAACTTTTAGGAATAAATAGTAATTTGTAAGTAAAACGTATGCTTCTCATAGAAAATATACTCCAGAATCGATTGGTGATACCCACATTTCGTGGAAAATTGTATGTTTTTTATAAATGTTAATTAAAGTAAGTAAGATTTTGAAAATACTCAATACTTGAAATTTTTGCTGGTGCGAATTTGCAGCACTGTGCCTACTACGGGTTAACTCAATTTTCTTATTTCAATTGCCTACTTCTACTCCCAAATAGCACATGACGTCTAATGACGCCTTAGACCTAAAATGGGCGTCTTTAAGGCGTCATGTGCTATCTGGGCTGTAATTCAACACAATAAGTCTGAGTGGTGAATGAATATTTAACGGCACTGTGCATTTCTAGTGGGCGAAATACCTGGACCCAATGAAAGACGCAGAGCGGCGAGCAGGGAGGAATTAAATCGACCTCTACAGTCGCATACGAGGACAGTATCGAGGAGCGTGAGCGTCCTCGCGCCTTGGAAACCGAGGCACTACAGGGAACCTTTTGAGATAAATTACGATCAACAAATGCATCCAAAGTCAATGGCAACCTTGAGACGCAGGCAACGAAGTCGCGAAACGTTAAGCCGCCGTGGAAAAGACGCTCGACGAAGCAAGGACAATCTCTCGAAAACTGGTAAATCGTATTCAAAAATACCTACATGAGGATTGATCAATTTAAACTGCGACTAATATTCCCCAAGTATGCAGGAGTTCCACAATAAAGAGAGCTTCCTTACCCAGATAGCACATGACGCCTTAAAGACGTCTATTTTACGGCTATTTTAGGTCTAAGGCGTCTTTAAGCCGTCTTCAAGGTGTCATGTCCCATCTGAGTTATGTTGTACTTAATACTTTATGTACAAAAACAGAAATACAATGTAGAATAATGTAAATAGAATTGCTTGCATGGAGCCTCTTGGGAAAATAAAATCGAAAAAATTCATCAAATTCCGTGCTTTTAGATATAACTAATGTGTCTTTACTACTGCTTAGAATAGCGCCGAAGCTATCATATGAGAAATTCGTTCACGTGTAGAAATGTAATTTTGCTGTTTCCAGAAAAATTGATTTTTATATATGGAAAAATTTGTTGTATTTTGCCGTATAAGCATATTTCGTATACCAAGGTTTAAGTTATTAAACACAACATATATGTAACTAGTTCTTTATTATATCTGCTCAATTCTCAGGTATCCTTCTATTTCAATCCCTTTTACCCTCCTTGTTAATATATCGAGCCTCCGTCTTCTTTTGGTAAGACAACCGCTACTCAATTCTATACATATGTATGTACATATAAAATATAAAACAAATGGCTCTTCGGAATTGTCACCACCATCCATTGCCTGTGCAATGTCGATAACAGCAACGATTGCCAACGGTCGATAACAACATCAATTGCCGAAAGTCGATAACAATATCTGTTGCCGACACATATGTATGTACAGTAGACATTCGTTTCCCGCACTAGTCGGGACTGTAGCGGGCCAGAATTCCAGGAATCATGCAGGAAGCAGACGCCAGTTACCCGAGCGTTGTCCCCGCCTTTAAGTCGTGCGACGCAACTATACAGGGTGAGGCATTTAAAACCGGCCACCTGAATAACTTGGCTGCTATTGGTGACAGGAAAAAATGCATCAGGACAAAATTATTTGGTATCGAGGGGTTGATCATCCGATGTTACTAGTTTTTTGATAGGTGGAGGCGTCAAGGAGATATGAAGGTCATCTCTGTTTTTTTAAATGGAACGGTATGTTTTTTTACTTACATTCTGATAGAGTATTTCAAGACGAATACAATGACCTATTGGAAAGGTCATTCATGGTCTGAGTTCAGCCAATTGTGATGGAAAATAATTTACTTTGAGGAAATGATCGAACATTTCCTTGCAGTCTCTGGTTGTTGATAGTATTACTTCATCTCTGTCTCGTAATCTCTTGTTATGGGTCGTTGAATGGAAATCAACATTCAATCACGCTGTACGCTGTACGCTTCAAGCGCGTGTGTGTGAGAAATACGTGTCAGCAAGGGGCGTGACTTTGGTGCAGATAACGGTGGCGCGGGAAACGAATGTCTACTGTACATATGCAATGAGATTCTACGAGACAAAAAAATTACTCATTTCGTATAGTAACCGCCAATTAAGTATTGAATACACATGGAAAACTGTTGCATTTTTTCCTCCATTCAGAAATATTATAGGATCGTGCCACACGAAATCGGAGCCCTTTTAGAGTAACATTTTGGATTTTGTTGACACTTGGATGTATTGTAATCGTTTGTGATATATAAACATACATATCTCGAAGGATTATTAGAAAATTTTTAAATTATTGATTCTACAGCTGTTGGAAATATAGTGTCATCCTTTTTTCAATAGATGAGAACTGGTGACTCAGCAAACTGATAAAAATAAGCTTTGTGGGTGCTTACAGTGAAGGCATAAGAGTACTTAATAATAATTTGAATTAAAAAACATTTTTTAACCATTTTTTCGCAATTGTTTAAAAAAAATTGATCGTTATAATAGCGGGGCACTATTTAAAAATTTGAAAAAAATGTATCCTCATTTTTGGTGTGATTCAACGCAGCGTTAACTTCAATTAATTTTCATATGGCCAATTTTAAAGTTTCCATATTTTTGAAAATTTGTCCATAAAGAGGACAAACAGGACCATATCCTCATGTTTTTTTTTATTTTTAAACAATGCCCACTGTTAAAACATTGCATTTCTTTAAAACAATTACAAAATAAATAGTTAACAAATATCTTTTTTTAACTGAAATAATTTTTATTAGGTATTCTCATGACTCCACTGTAAGCACCCACAAAACTCATTTTGATCAGTTTGTCACTTCAACAGTTACGATTTATTGAAAAAAGATTGACACTATATTTCAAACAGCTGTAGAACAATTTCAAAAATTCACAAAAATCCACCGAAATACGTTTATATATCACTAAAAACAACATATCCAACTGTCAACAAAATCCGAAATGTTACTCCAAAAAGTGTCCGACTTTGCGTGGAATGATTCTATATTCAATTCTATAAAGACGAGTGACCCTTAGGATAGTGTATTTGATGCGCCATTTTAACGAAAGACCTTTTTTGAGGATATCCTGCTATAAATTGTAATTTAACACGATCGTGTTAAGCTACGTCTACACTTTTTATGTAGCATAACACGTTATATAGCAAATATATAAAACTTGTTACAAAAACAGGAAGAAAAATATTATATAACATTTCTCGTGTTATACATATAGCAAGTTATATGTTATGCATCAAGTGTGACGGTATGATTAATAATAGGACGCGACATGCTGTTCAAACTTGTTACAGACTTGTCCAAAAGGTATAACCTTGTAACAAGTTATAAAAACATGTTATATAACAACGTTATAGAACAAATTGTTACATAACAATGTTTTGTTATATAGTCTAAACGCAGCTTTAGTCTCGGTTCATAATACAGTATTTTCATTTCTATCAGCAAATATGTCACATTAAGACTGAATTAGAACGTTCTGTTTTAGGCACAATCAATCGCAGTACATTGAAATCGAAAGACAAGCAGAAGGTGGACAGAACCGTATCCACGGAATCGTTGGTCACCAAGTCACGGAGCGTAAACACGAAACCAGAGCTAAGCAGGTCCACGTCTGTTCCACGCGATCCGAACAAAAGCGCGGGATGGTTCAAGCTGAAAAGCAAGAAGTCCCGGGCTTGAGGGGCAGGCCATTGATTAATGCTAGTCTTGAGTTTCATAAGTAATTCGTAACTGTTAAGGGTTTAACGATAAACGCGTCATCGTTCCGCCGCCGTTCGGGGCGGAATAATTGTACGAGCTATTATTACCATTTTCTTTTTCTGTTTCTGTATTCCAACGTGCAATGCAAGTGTCGAGTTATAGAAGGAATTAATAATAATCTTATTAACCGAGTTTTGGCAACTTCGATGCCCCAATCGCGACCAGGGAGCAACATAAAGATTAACTGCGCCTTGCGAGCCACTGCACTAATTGCATTCAGATCTGTATCGGAGACGAACTAATGATCGTATGCGGATTCGTAACCAAATTTAAAATCAACTGTACTATAATGTAAGCATGTTCTTGTTTTCTTTTTTTCCTTTGATTAAAATTATCCTTCTTCCACGAACTAATAAATACACTTTATTTACGCAAAATGAAAGTACCCACAGGTAAACGATTATCACTGGGTTATTGAAACTTGGTTAACCTATAAATAACTTTTGTTATTTTTACCGACGAAAATAGTATGATCCGTCTTCGACAATGGAGCCTTCTCTCTACCAGATTTAACATATTAAATTTCCTTCGTGTGAGATGAGAATGCGTTGAAAAGAATTCACTTTATTTTCCATAATGAACATGTTTATTCCGTTGTGTTCAGTAAGTTCGTAACTGCATTCAAATAAATGAAAACATTCCGTAAATGTACTTATATTACGAAGGAACGTGGAGCGTGTGATTTACAAAACAAAAAAGAAATTATTTTGTTTCACCGTGAATCAGAGTGCCATTTCCGTTCTATTAAGTGTATACACACATTGTTCCAAGACAAATCAAAATTTCTAAACGTGCAAGGTATTTTAATCTACGAACGTAACAGGTAATATGCATTAAGATAAGCTATAGTGTAATAGCGCGAAAGTAAAATATTTTTCAAATTGTGTTGCAACGATTATGTTGTACAAGTGGATAACTAGCGTTTATGTGTAATTTTTAAATGTTTTATTGTGCGTAGATCGTTTTGATCTTACTTACATATACTAATTGTAAATATTTGTAATAATAATCTTTATTTCTAACTATCTTTACTTTGCTTTATTGTGTTTCCACTTAATCTTTTTCTTCAGTTTTTCTTCACTTTTTCATGACAGATCGCAATCTTCCTTACGAAAAATATTATTTTTAATGAAATTATAATGTTGACTAGGAACAGTGAAAACAGATTTCTTGGAAAAAAGCATGAAATCTGTTTTGCTGTAATATATTATCACCTCCATGAATTTATAATCTTTTTGCAATTGTGAATTGTCACTTGACCACCAACAACTATCACTTTCTATTTGGTGCTATTTGCGTTATATGTATATATGTGGACTATTATGGTTTGCATGTAAATATAATGAATATATTGACAATTTGTATTAATTCATTGATAAGTTTGTATTATCTATTAACATAGTTATTATTTCACCCTGAATGTAAGGGAAGGTGCTACAAGACCTAAAGATGAAAATCTCAAAACGAATTAAATTTTGTAACGTAATAATTAATTTAAAGTAAATAAAAATGTAAGCACAGTGCACCACATGCTACTCTGTGCTGTGAGCACAGTGCCGAATATTATCAGTACTAATAAAACGACATAATACTACATTTATATTCCATTTATTTTATAACAGCATGCAACCAATGTGAATAAATAACTTACGATGTGTTCAATTTTGATGTAACTGCATTTACTTGCAAATGAAATGTACACTATAACATGAGAAAAGTAAGTAGCTAGTACTGTCTTCATAGAGTTTATGTAAATTAATTTTGGTTTCATTCAATAAAATAATATTTTTTCATATAAATAATCAATGCTGTATGTATTATATAATAATATACATTGTATGTTGCTTTGCAAATTGCAAACATTTTATCTGTTGGCTTTACAAATTCATGGGTCCATAATTTTTATCTAAGAAATCACTCATAACATTTTTTAAGAGAATATATAGTATTAAAATTCACAAAAAATTGCAGCTTCTGTCGTGGATTCTGAAGGTACAGCATTCTCTGGAAAATCTTTAAAAATTTCATCCAAGAATATCATGGACCACAAACATATTAAATCAAATAATAACCTTTTTTTACTATAAGCTTAAACAACAACTTTGTAACCTTAACAAAAATTAAAGTACAAAACAATAGTATTTTCTTCAGTATGTTTATGTATCATAATTTTTAATTAGTAGCCAAATTATGCCCTCAATTGCACCTCCAAGATGTATCAACAAATTGATACACCAACATGAATCATGTAAATATTAATATCTTGATTTGAAAAATCTACATTCTATGGACTGTAGCCATGTCACCAGTACCACTGTTGACTTAAATAAAGACTAGTCTGGGAAGTGATAAGGCAAATCTATTAAAATACTAGTAATGAGCTAACACATATGTCACTTTATTATAATCATTAAACTACTGAATGAAATTAAAATTATATAGCTTCATCTAATTTATCCCAGCAACAAAGAATTGTTCCACTCAATACAAGTGTCATTCCAATATATGTACCTGGAAATAAAAGTGATTCAAATGATATCTATACTAAATCATAATAGATATTAAAAGATAACGATCAATATGCAAACTTCTATGTATCTTTTCTTCACCCAGCATCCAACCGGTGATTGCAGTTACCACAAAGGTAAGGGAATTAGTGACTGGTACAGCTAATGATATATCTGTACCACCAAGCATTACAAAGTATATGACAGAACCACCTTGATTGATGATAAATGGTATAATGTACTAGACAAATAAAAGTAATTAAATGAAAGTTAATATATTGATGTGTAACCATAATGAAACTTTAAAAAGGAACCTTTAAATTTGTGAGAAGAAATGTGAGTTCTTTATAAAATTGACCAAATTTGGAAGACGCTTTCACATTTTCTAAACCTTGGGCTCCTTTCTTTATGAAAGGATTGGTAACACCCCATAAAAGTGCCACAACAGCAAGGCATAAGATAGATTCTACAAAGTAAAAGAAAATTTGCACAAACCTTAAAAGTATGCCTTTCTTTTTATCTACACTATAAACTAATATTAAATATCTTAATTACTAAATGGAATATGTGGTATTCTTTATTTTTACACTTTATGTATCACTTTGGTTTTATCCCAAAGAATTAAAAATACTACTTTTACGACTTTACATGAAAAAAAAAATTAATTCGAATAATTGATAACAATGGTGAACATCCTTCAAAAATCAGGAACAAAAGTATCACTTTACCTCAGAACTTCATTTGTCAAAACAAAATGTTTCTATTAAGAACATAATTAACACGTTGACTGCCACAGTGAAACAAGCCATATGTAGCCAGACAGACTTGATTTCGTTTTTTAAGTCATATATCGTCGAAAATGTATGCATTTAGTTAATAGAGGCTGTTTGTCTTATTTAAAATTATACCGCCATATTAATTTTACACAAAAACTTTGTAACAATATTTAAATAACTCAGCCTCTTGTTTCAAAAACAAGTTATCTCATACTTGGCAATCAACATGTTAAGTGAAATTAATAATGTTATGTAATACAATAATTACTGCTAGGGAATACCCTACCCTGGTGTACAGTGCGTATATATTAGTTGATAAAACAACAAAACTTACCTACTGATACAGTCATACTTATTTTTATTTGACATTTATTAACTCCATAAAATTACTATCTACAGTATTTACACCGTACTGCACTATACATAACATATACATATACATTACCACAGCCGACTCCATAGCACTAGCCGTGCTGAACAACGTGACAACACCGCTTATGGTGGATTCGGGAGTCCTATTTTCAAGAATAAAGTTTTGTGCTCAGTGTTATAATTATCGTTATTTTGTACATAAAACCATACTAATACACTGTATTTTTGACTAATTATGCATAAGGAACACATAAATATCATAACTATAGTACTAGTGTTGCCACGTTGTTCAGCACGGCTAGTACCAGAGTCGGCTGTGCTATGGTCAAGTGGTGGGGGGGCCCTTCCCCTACTATAATTGTACACCTATGTATTTCAGCCTAATTGACAATTAATGTTTTAACTTCATTACACTGAGTTAGGTATAATATTTTACTTCTGACTCAATCTAAAATATTATGAAATTAAATTTTCATAATATTTTTGAGATATTCAGTCCTATTGTTCTATGACTTTATCATTGAGAACCATCTGTTAATGTTTTCAACTAGAGATCACTGGACAAAGAATAAAATATTTATGAATATTTTTATACATATGTTCAACAGTGTCTCAGAAGTAAAATATTTTAAATAACGAATTGAAGACAATACACTTAAAAAATTAATTGTTTCTTAAGCTAAAATAGTTGTAGAATTATAGACAGGTTGAATTTTTTAAATATTTCATATATGTAATATTTATAGGAATAATCATTTAAAACAGTATTATTGGTTCACTTTTACTTTGTACTATTTTAATAAGTTATGCATTATCACACGCTAGACATGATACGAAGTGTAGTTTATTATGACTGAAAATATCTAAAAACATTGAAACATTTTATGAAAACAATATTTTATACACCACACATTCTGTGATGAAATATGCGAGACCGTACGTATTCCATCCTGGCGACTGAGTGGGGTACGTGCAGGCTGGGAAATACGTGTGAGTGAAGGGCGTTGCCAATATGCAATAAGAGGGAGTCCGATTAACGAGCGGCCACTATAACTATTTAGTTATCTAACATTTTGTAAATAAAATATGTGGACGATTAACAAATATTTTTGAATGCTAATATTTCTGGACTATTATATGTTATAGTATATATTTATATATAGTTATATATAATTATATACACATATATATAGGTTCATCGAGTATTTTTTAATTAAACTAAACATTTTTGTCAATATCAAACATGTATTGTCGTATTCATTACTAAATAGCAATGAAGATATGTCAGTAGAATTCAATTGATTTATTTTACAGTGCCAGAAAAAGTAAATTTGTACAAATTGAATAGGGTGAGTGTATAAGATGTATTATAGACTTACTAACACATACATATTTACGCAACAGTTAGTGCGTACTTGCTATGGAGCGACGAATTTCTTAGTGGTTTGGGCCACTTACTTTTTTTTTTAGTTTTTCTATATTTTTACACGTTTTAACTGAATGTACTCGAGGTCAAAGAGATCGTAAAATACGATATTATAATTATAATAATGACTTCGTTCGTGATGCTGAATCTTCACGGATTGACTGTATTTATATGGATCGTATCTATTCTAACCTTATCCATCAGTGATGAAGTTCAAATAGATGGTACAACGCCTCCAACGCATACATCCAATAGAAGCCTTATCAATACACCATCTGAAAATAATCATCCGGATTTATTTACCGTAATTAAACCCACCCTTGAATCCATTAACGCTGCACAAATATTCAAAGTATGTAAGATCTTTTGTTTCTTCCAACACTGACATTATTTCTGAAGTCTTTGATGTCAATCTACGATTTAAGTTATAGTGGAGGACCAAAATATTAGTAATTCTACTTAAATGTATACATTGACTTCAAAAAGTGTAATATACAATTGTTAATAATTTTTTATGTAATAGTGTAATTCATGCAGCCTTTTATTTACTATTGTGTTGTTTATTACATATCAAAGTACGTAGTTATTAACATTATTGAATTTCTTCAATTTGTGTACACGTAATAGTAATGGCTTGCCTACTTTTCTTCAGTTTATATGTAAATATAATTAGTAGAAACTTTATGCATGGCCAGTTTTATATCATTATATATATATATATATTTTTGTAATAAAAAGTATATAGAAATATATATTAATTTTTACTAAATTATGAAAGGAAAAAAAATAATTAATCATTTGATTGGATAAAAGTATAATAGAATTTGTAAATAAATGTTGGTCATATGAAAATGATAGGAAGGTAAAACAATTTGTTAGTTTTAAAAGCAATTTTATAGAGAAATAACTATGATGTCATGATAATATACAAATATTTTTGTTGCAAAGGCAATATTATTACATGTAAGTAATAGCATTTAACTTCCTTGTTAAAAATTATACACATTGAGATATATACATTTCAGTTTTTAGTAGCATACAATGTTTAGTTCTATATTTGCGTATTATATGAAGAATAATTACTTTTGATAATTTGTTTGCATGAAAAGTCTTCTATTATATCATGTATATCATTCACAATTGAGTACAGTGTAATAACAGTGGAAATGTTATTTCAGAGAAATAATGTCACCCCTTCATTTGTCGGTGAAGGTGGCCCAATTTCATTTTCTTCTACTACTCAACGTACATCTTCTACTACTTTACATTTAGCAAGCATTTCTGGGAATCTAAATATGAAAGATACTTCAGCAGAAGACAAGGAACATGCTCTAAGAGTAACAAAAAGAAATAATACATTATCTAAAATAGTGCCAAGGAAGGGAGCAACAGAAGTATTAAACACAGAGCAGAAAAAAACTTTCATTGAAAAATCATTAGAGGATAACAAACAGTCAATAGTTGAATCTTCTACAACAGCAAGTGTTACTAATAGTGAGTACACAAATGATAAGTTGAGTAATTCCGAATTACATATTTCTGATGAAGAGAAAGTTGTTTTAAATACTACTTTGAACAACAAATTGCATCAAAATATGAATATAACATTGCAACAAAATATGAATACAACGTTGCAACAAAATATAACAGCCAATACTACTATGACAACAGCTTTACATAAAGAACATAAAGCAAAGCCAACTGTAACAGTAGCAGGACCTAATAATGATAAACGACCATTTGTTTCACCTACGAGATCGCGTTTAGGAATGCCAAAAAAAATCGATTATGTTTTACCAGTTATTGTCACTCTCATAGCTTTGCCAGTATTATGTGCTGTTATTTTCATAGTGTATAAGCAATGTAGAGATTGTTGGGATAAGAGACATTATCGCAGAATGGACTTTCTTATTGATGGAATGTACAATGATTGATGCTTACAAATGTAATACCATTCAGGAATTTAGATAAGAATACTTTCACCTGTGCAATATATTATATATAAGGGATGGTTGGTACAAATTGCATTATATTCATAGGGTCGTAGAGGAGCTTAAATGGAACAAAAAAAACTTAATTAATTTCTAATGTTTCACAAAAGTTAAACTATAAAAGATATAAGAAAATGTATTAAAACATTCCTATCCTAATATTTTTCCTAGTAAATCTACAAAATTATAAAATCTGTCGTCTATTGGTATAGTGAAAACATATTTTTGTTTGAAGGCATTACAGTTGTTAAACAAAGAGACAAATTAGATGTGGTATTGCAGGACATTTGAGTTTCAGGTGAGCTTCTCTTATACACTTATAAATATAGTTCAAAGTGTATTGCCGACTCCCTGTGTATAAAAATTTGATATACTATTTTGTCAATATAACTTTGATTACGATACAAAACCATTTATGTACAGAATTGCAAACATTTATTGTGCCGTGGTTTATTCCGCATACAATATTCTTATTACATTACTGCCTTATTATGAGATTTGTTATTTTGTATACATATTCTGTACGCATAGTTTGTATACAGAAAAGATCATTCATATTGAATCTTTAAACTTCACATGCTCATAATATTACTGAATAGTATACGAGGAAGACAATATAAACATAACAAATTAATAATAAAGACATGGTAATAAAGATATTCAATAAGTTCTCCAAGCATAGAACTTCAAAGAAGTATTAGTTTCATGATTTTAACTAACATTGTCAAATATTTATTAAAATTGATGAAATTTTATCTGTACATATTATGTATATCATTATAATTGTGAAATTACTTTTTGTAATTGTACAATTTAACGGAAAAATAATTTATAGGTAATTCGTTTTAACTCAAGTTAATGTTATAAGTTTTCAAAATTTAGTAACACTGTTAATTATTGCTCTTACTAAAGTAAAATGCTTCTTCATTTTTTTGAAACAAATGATTATAGCCATACTGTATCAACTAATTTGTTTTTTACTAAAAGTTTATTATATCATTCAAATCATGTACAATGTACTTTGTGGTACTTTACAAATTGTAAACTAATGTCTATCCCACCAAAGAAGCATTTGATTTATGCGTCAACAATTTCATAATTGCTTGTAAGAACTGTTGTATATCAGTGCATTTCTTTTCGTTATTGTAAAGGTATGTTCATTTATATTCATAATAATTGCGATATGCATGTTAAATGGAGAATGAACAACGTTCACACAACTCTCATATTGTTGCAAACATAAGCAATGATTTCTGCAATTACAGCATTTTATAACGTTTTTTGCGATTGTTATTTATAAGGAGGAAATTTTGCGCTGAACTTCCTTTTTGTTTAATGTTCGTAAAATTTCTATTTTGTCTAAATGTGATAAAGCAATAACAGCTATTTTTGTATATTTATGTAAAAAATCATATTGTTATAAAATATAAACATATATAATTAAAGTTGTTTAATTAATCTCCATGTACAGAACAAAAACTTCACCGCACATGATTTTAATGTTTTATTAATAAGCTTTGTGAGTCTGTAGGTACATAAAATTAGTAATGACAAGATCGCGTACAAATCGTAAACTTCCTACTGTCAATTGGAGAAAGATTGCCAATTGAATATGACTGACAAGCAGTGAAACATCGAATTGCCTTTACTGGTTAAAGAAGTCATTTTCTTCGCTTGAAGAGAAGGAATACAGGAAAAAACAGTAATTCTGTGTTCTGTCAGTATACCCGTTTTGTATACACAAATGAAATTTTAGAAAAATATGATTGTTCGTATCAATGTCTCAAAATTCAACTTAATTTACTTATAAATTTAAAGCTTTAAAAGTGCATAATCACTGATGACTTATTACAATCTAGAATACTTGCTTTATCATTACAATTCTACAATCGTGATTCCACCTTAGATTTACGTTTGTGTTAAGTCATTGCTTTTATTATAGAACTGAATATAAAAATAGTCATTGTCACAAACAATTTCGTTACAATGTTATAATTCCAATACAAACATAACTTGTCAAGTAAACGCTTTCAGAATATTGCTATATTTACGTGAATATGTATATTGTAATAAGATAATATCCAGATGAAGTACTTGATATAATTCTAAGTTTTCCAACAGTATATTTTGTCGTAAAAAAGATATTTTTATAATCTAAAATTCGTTCTTTAAAACTCTTATAGCATTCCATGTATAGTTTTTATAGTTTTCAATATGAAAAGAAAGTAAATACATTATATTCTCGTTACAACTTCAAAACGACTCCTTTGAGACTTTACAGTACATACTGGTCAAAAATACTATTGGGTATAACTTTTAATACGGTGTTTCATACAAAAAAAAATCGTAAAATTAGTGGACATGTATAATACTTAATTGCAACGTTACAGTCACACTAATATTGTAGTGTTCGTATCAACAGAAACTGCAGATAAAAATAAAAATACTGAAAAATATGCAGTTTCTATGTAGGAAAAGCGTACTTGATTATTGAGTTTGGTAGCCAGAGGAAAAATATTATCAGCTTGGAATGCAATTTTCTGATTATATTTATCCGGCCAACCATCCTCGATCAAGAATAATAAAAAGAAAACACTTCCAAACGCGAAGTATCTTCTACCGCATTTTCAGAATAATTTTATACTGAATTTTCATATTTATCATGGATGTTCGTTAAAAATCGTTTATTTAGATTTGTATTTTATTTCGTCTGGAAAAGCCTCTCTCGGTGGTATCAAGCTAAGCATCATTATGTGACGTTGATAAGCCCGAGAATTACGAAATTGGGTATCTGTTCCGTGAATGCGGTCCAATACTCCCAAAACTCCAAAGCATTGGTTGAATCTGAAACAATATAGTGCTTTGAAATGACCGTTGTGCAACTTTCAATATTATGTAAAAACTTCTATAAATGTCTTCAAAATGACACCTATATACACTTGATATTTTCAGAAAATTTGTTTACGAAATTCGACATTTATCAGTAGATAAGAAACATCATATTTTTGGGTATTACAAACGTAAATACAAATGTAAGTAAATTCACTCTTTACAAAGTGTGCTAGAGGGACTTTCCTTGTCATCCAACTATAGGTGTCTATGTATGCAAATTTAAATTTTTGTAGAATAACGACGAAAAGCAGGAATTCATTTTTTCTAGTAACAGAATGCATAACCTTGCTATTTGAAAACAAATCGATAATTTTCTTCCAACTTGGAAAATTGTTCTACAGGTAGTTGTGTTTAGACATTGCAGGAAATTAAAGAGATGGAGCAATTTTTCGAGAATTTATCGATCGCATCAGCAAATGTTATTTAATAATAATTCATTCAAACATCTTGAATTTTGTATGCTTTAGAAAATTCTGCCAAATTTTGTAATGGCCAAGAATAATAATGTATCTACGATTTTCGACAATGATTATTCCAGTATCTTACAATCATTGAAGATCTACTAAATGTCACCACATTTTCTATAAAATATCAATCAATGACACAAGGAATCTTTTCACTATACTTCTACAATACGGTGACTCTATGTACATATGCACACGATGCAGTAGTCGATGTAGGACAAGAAGAATAATAAAATTAACGGTACTTTCGATATCGACAGCTGATAGTCGGGTTATACTTACTTTAAGTGATGGAAATCATGGGCTTCTGGGGATGGGAAGAATGGTAGATGGTAACCGGAGTGAGCGTTCAACGTAGATAGAATAGCAAGCGAGAACCAAAGCCAAGCGGTAGCCACGTGAGAACCTACGATGAATACTCCCAAAAACGGGGGCAATAGGTTCGAGCCAATGTGTTCTAAAGGATGGCAATACAGCGACGTTACAGCTATGGGGGCCGTCCATTCATGATGTTGTTTATGTATATACTTATACAGATAGCGGCTATGAAGGAATCTGAAATACAATAATCGATTGGTATTACTATATTTCTTATTGGGACGTACCAAATGTGTAATACTAGGATCGCGTTAGGAAAGTAAGGTCCGATCGAGAATTATTAAAAAAAATAATAATAGTGAATATTCATCCGTTACCAGCTAACGGTCTCTATTTCCAAATAATGCTCATTACGTCTGAATTTTTCATTCAGTTGTACGTACTAGCTTTCTTACTTTTGTTACGAAATACACATTGCACGTTTTCAAGTATATTTACAACTATTTAAATGTTTAACACTTATTATGTACACTGTAAACAAATATTGATTATTGTAAGTTAATTAAAATTAAATATAATATGTATATATACACATATAGGGTGGTCCATGCAACTGGTACCAGTTCGATTATTGCGTAAATAATGATTTTAGTAAAAAATGTTTCAGATAAAAATTGTATAGTTGCAGGGGCGACATAATTTGATGTAATTAATGTTTTTTTAAAGCAAATGCGTAGAGGACATATGAAGGTTAAGTTTGTTTTTTTTAAATGGAATTGTTTATCTTTTATTACGTCATTCGATCCAACTCACAATTATGCATACAAAAGTATTACCTATTCATATAAAAAAAAACAGTAGTTTAGGAGATATTTTAATTTCAATTATTCGAAATGACGTAACTGAAGGCACTCACAGAACGTTAATCTTTTGTTTATGTTATTGTCAAGATTCCCCAACAGTCAAACATCTGCAGAACCAGTTTTCGGTACGACAGTTGGTAAAATTTCTTTAAAAATTTTCTAATGACCATCGTAATGCATATTGCTGAATTTGTTTTACTGTTATCCATAATTTTCGTTATGAAAAACAAATCCGACTTCCATTTAAAAAATTGAAAATGACCTTAAAAGTTTGAAAAATGTAAGTGATAGAAATAAATCGAATAATTCACTATGTGGTCCCGTTTGAACCAAGGAGATTTCAACTCTAGCAATTTTCGCTCAAATTAATACATTGGGAGTTATCGCAGTTGTTCCAGTTACGCCATTTCAAATAATTGAATTTTAAATATCTCCTAAACTACTGGTCTTTTTATATGAATAGATTAACACTTTTGTATACAGAATTATGAGTTGAATCGATTGACGTAATAAAAAATATGCGATTCCATTTAAACAAATAAACTTGACCTTCATATGTCCTCTACGCATTTACTTACAAAAAAACTAATTATATCAAATTATGTCCCCCTTGAAACTATACAACTTTCATCTGAAACATTTTTCACAAAGTGCTTCCGGTTACGTGGACCACCCTTTATATAATGAATGAAAAAAACATTGGGCATGCCGGTATTCGAACTCATGTGCACAAACGTAGCATATAATTTCGACGTCGGACATTTAACCGCTGTGCCAAACAGATAATTCGAAAAAAATTAATAATATATATAATAAATTTGAACAAAATCCAAAATGGTGCTGCAAAAAGTGTCCAATTTCGCGTGGAATGACCCTAATACAGATAAAAAATTTCCCTTCGAACGATAAATATTAATTTGGTTTATTTGAGGGTTGACAAGCCCGGGAGAACTGTTACGTACCTGTGCGAGTAATAAAATCCAATTTCCTCGCATAATATGTGAATTGCGATTTCAACGAGTACCCAGTGGAAGGTCGGCAGCTCGCGGACAGGGGGATAGCCGCGCCATTCCATAAAGTGATAACTGACGTACGCAAGAGGAATTCCGACAATGATCTGATTGAATAGTACTTGAGCGATCACTTTGCACAATTCCGTCCTGTTCACCGGCTCATTCGTTCCGGGCTGTATTTTGTATTTTCGTAACGCGGCCGGCCGGTTGGTTATGTCTAAAATCGTGTAAATGCCGCCGAATATCCAGTAAACGAAAAATGTCAGTCCCAGCGAGCCTGAAAGAGATCGTAACGAACGTTGGTGAATTCTCCATACGCAGTGATTGCTGTTTAACACGTTCGCTATCGCCATAATGGTTTTGAGAACGTTCGACACAAACCCAGATAGCACATGACGCCTTGAAGACGGGTTAAAGGCGCCTTAGACCTAAAATAGCCGTAAAATAGGCGTCTTTAAGGCGTCATGTGCTATCTGAGACGTCGAACATTCTCTAGATCACCATCATTCTCCTCTGTGATTGTTCTCACTTTCTTGATTAGACAGTAAAAATACATAAAATAGGGATAATTAATAATCTAAAGTACAAGTGCATATTGCAAAACACATTGGACTTTTATCTTTATCAAATAAAATGTGCTGACTTAGACATCGACGCGTTACACATATACAATCGGCCAAAAATTTGCAATCGCTACGTTAATTAATCGAAACTGGAGCTTTTTATGAAAAAATGCACACCCTTAAAGTAACAGAGCAAATTTTATTTGTCAAAAAACTAATAATCAACGTGTGATACATTTTGTACCATTTTTTGCACAGAGATAGGATGTTTTTTAAATTACCCTTTCGTCGGAAACATCGCCTTCAGTGAACGAGATTAAAGACGGTCTGACATATTCTGAGCATTAGGGTCTAATATTGTGGCACTGGAGTTTTATTGAGTAAATAAAAGAATCACGTGTTCTTATATAACGCAAAAGCAGAATGTCGTTTCAAGCAGCAGGAAAAGTCAGGTCAAGCATTGCCTTAAATGTGAATTATGATTCTTATACGAGTACTCTGGATATAAGAAAATGCTAAAATTTCTTGATATAAAATATGTGCTTGTTAACTTAAATGTGGCACTTTTGATGGTTTTTAATGGTTACTTATGTAACCTGATGTTCCTTTAAATGAAATTATGTACTCTTTTTTAATGATATTGTATTACATGACGGTAAAGCTCGCGCGAGGTGAAAAATGAAACAATTCGGAAAGAAAAGTACTTTTTACACGTCTCTGCTGATTACGTGCGATCTGGTATGGTATTATTTGTTATAGGAAATAAAAAAATACGATCGGTAAAACGTCATATACAACTTGAACAAATATCAATGTAATTTTTTTAATAAAATAATTTCGTCAAATGGATACTTCTACAATTTTATTTTATGAAATTGACAGTGTTGGTTGGTTAAAAGTGAATAAAACCATATGATTTTACTAAATCGTCGCCATTGTTATCCTTACCAACATTACAAACACCTAATAAGAAATATTTTTCTTGGTGCATTCAATTCAATTTTACTAGGGTTCCTTTTTATTTTTTTTACATGATACGATACTCAAAGTGCGACAAAAATCGTGAAACAAAAGAGAATAAGGTAATTCCTGAATTAAAAATAAATTTTCGGAAAAATTGAATTTTAAAAATTTGTGGAATACGTTCATTCTTGTATATCACTGACTAAGGTGTTTATCTCTAACATACAATTTCTATTTATGATAAACAGACAGCAATACGATATTATCTGCATTCCACTGAATTTACCATCTTTCGTTTATTAATTTAATAACTACAGACAATAAGTAATACTTTGTCGTTGTTAATGTTTATAAATGTTAATTTATATTCAATCAAACTCATATATGCTGAATTTACAAATTCGTTTTTTCCGAACATGAAACTATAAGAAAAATTCTCTATTTGTTCTGTATTTGTTTCTAACGTCGGAAAATACAAAAGCTTTAATTTATACTGATAAATTTTTTACAGAAATTTTGCACATTAACAGTTTCATTGTTCATGATTGTCGACTATAAATCCACAGACATAATTCTGACAGTAACTATTTATGGGTTTTAAAAGAATGTTTAAGAAAATTTCTAATTCAACATAATTCACACGACAAATTTCTGATTCAAATCATTCTGTGCTACATGCGAATTCATGACTTCGCGAACGTGTTAATACACTGCTCGAAACAATTAGGCGATCAAAATAAATTGTAGCCGCTACAACCGTGAACACAGCATAGAATTTCTGGTAATTTTATAAATATTATAAATAAATAATATTATAAGTAATATTATAAAAACTACATATGTATGTACTAGCATTGCACAAACATAATGTTAATTTATGAAAGAATTTTTTCGTTTATGAAAGTCCAGTATAGAAATGCTCTAATTGTTTCGAGTAGTGCACTTCGTAATGTTACATTTGTCTGTACCGTAAACCCAGAGCATCACAGGATCGTCGCCCAGCCTGTTTAGGATTCTGTCCCATTGTGCTTGCCAGAAATCACCGGATGCTCCCCAGAATCGCTGCAGATGCCTGAGAAATGAAGAAATCGCAACGTTATTGCGACCGTCCCCAGTCTTTTCGTAACAACAATTCATGTTTTTTATTGAGTGAATTATTACATGCGATGAGAATGTTAATAATTATATATAACTGTGGTAACAGAATGCAAATATACAGGGTGTAACAAAAATGTTGCAAGACCCGGAAATGAGGGACTCGTGGAGCGATTTGGAACAAGCTTTTCCTTAGCAATAGTGTTATCCGAGGCTTTGTTAACGAGATATTACCGAAAAACACCGACCAATCAGAGCGCGAATCCGTGCCGGCGGAGCTCCCGCGGTAGCGTTACAACGCTCGACTCGCATTTGACCGACTGCGCGACATCCCCACCATCTGTATCTAACTTATAAAAAGGGGTCAAGGCAATAAAGAACGACAGTGCTACTCTAAATCTTATGCATACATTTACTTTTCCCATCTCGTCACGACTTCCGTTACTTTGATTAAAGCATAATAGTCGCAATTATCACAAACTTTTATCAATCTTAGAGCTATCGAGCCAATCGAAATGCTTTGTAGAAGCAGTAGCAGTAGCAGTGGCAGTGGCAGTGGCAGAGAGAGAGAGAGAGAGAGAGAGAGAGAGAGAGAGAGAGAGAGAGAGAGAGAGAGCTTCGTTCTTACACTACCTATCCTATTTACAATTTGTATTCTGTTTCATTCTATCTTACATCTATTCTACACCTAAATCTTATTCTACATGCAATTCTGCGCTTTTGACTCCCGTCTCAACACCTCCTTTTTCACTCACAAGCTCTCAAATACTCCATTCTCTGTTCCTTCCTTCTCCTTCCGTCTTTTTATCTCTTGCCCGTCCAACTGTTTTAGCCAATGCTCCCCTTCAACCTCCACCCCTAAAATTTTCACTACCTCCTCCTCGTTCGCATCCTTCCGTTCCCCTTTCCCCTCCACATTGAACCCATACATGTTTCCAGGTCTCTTCCTTCACTCCACATATTCTATACCTTCTTCTTTCTTCTGTTTCTCAGTATCTTGGTTCTCCCATTTCGTTTCCTCGTTACCTTACTATCCTCTTCCATCTCTCTTCACTCCATCCCTTCTTCAGATACTTCGGAATGTCCTTCTCCTTTAAAATTTTGTACCACCGGTTATACCTAGACTCCCATATCTCCCCCCCCCCTCTCCTACTTCTGCAATTCCTTGTCTCTTCTTTCTAGTTCTGCATAATCTAATCTAGTTTCCTCCCTCATGCTCTCGACTTCCTCCATTTCCATACCTCTATCCCTAAAGAATTCCACCCTTTCCTCCTCCCATTTTGACCTTCTATTCTTTATTCCTCTTTGCCTAATTTCCTCTCAACACTTTCTCGCTATCCCATTTACACTTGCCTCTATCATCATTTTTTGCTCATCTCTCCTTCCACCTTTTACTCTTAACATTTTCCTTTTCATCTCCTTTCACACCTTATCTTTTTCACCCCACCTTTTCCTTTTCATCTCCCACCGAATTATGATACATTAATCTAAAACATAATATGAAATACTAAATTTGAACACCAGACAAACTAATAATAATAAACACATTTGAATTTTCAAGCTTACCTTTTTATTTTAAATACGAAATTGGAGATTATGTATCTTAGATTGGCACCAAATTACACTAAACAACTATGTACGTAAAACAACTGATGGGTTATTGCATTGGATGTGGGAGACAAGAATGACCCAATATAAACAATCAAAATGTTCGTCCCCATGATATAACAAATATGGACTGAATTCTTATTTTGATCGGATTTGCCCTGTGCTTAGCCTCGGTCTACCCTACAAGCACAACGCGTAGCCAACGGCTACCGCGGGAGCTCCGCAGACTCGCAGCTCCGCCGGCACGGATTCGCGCTCTGATTGGTCGGGGTTTTTCGTTAATATCTCGTTAACAAAGCCTCGGATAACATTTTTGCTAAGGAAAAACTTATTCCAAATTGCCTCACGAGTCCCACATTTCCGGGTTCTGTGACATTTTTCTTACATCCTGTATATATGTATAAACATCGTAGCATTTCAAATTTTGCTTTTGTCGAGATACAGCAATGCGGCCAACTATTCCCCTACGTATTTTAGAACTCGTACATCCTCCCTCGTATTAAAAAGGTGTTTCACATGAAATAACTTTTGTGATTCGAACGCATAAAAAAAGACTACATATTTACAATTATAAATATAAAATTCGAATATATATTAACAATTTATCTCAACATTTAACTGCGTATATCAACGTTTAAGTATTTAAGTTCAAGTATTATTTTCGAGAATGTACTCATCTAGCGGCAAAAAATTAAATTGTACAATACGATGCCATATTGAATATTCAGGCTTGTAATATGAGTTATAAGTGCTAAGTAAGTTCATAATTCTAAGTAGAGTTCAATGGTAAGAAAGGGTTGAATTTGTTTGGTCGTAATCATAATTCCGCAGTTGAATTATTGAACATTTTATTAATTTTGTAAGGTATGGTTCGTTACTCGATTCGTGTCCAAGAATGCAAAAACAAAATCAAGTGATATCGTATACCTTATCCGGTGTAATTTACCATGTTAATGAATTGCAGAAAGCGGCGAATCCGATGACAACGGTTCCGATTACGAAGAGTACGCTTCTTAAACTCGAAAGAAGCGTTGGCGGGGTTTGATGCTTCAAACGATCGTCGCTTACAGTCGCCACTGGAAAAATCGAATGTTATTTAACCGTTAAATTTGTATAACTGTAACTGGAAGGAATTTAACAACATTAAATTATACACCTGACTGGTAAATGTATGATATGTGACTTAAGTACAACACTCTTCAGAAAATGTCCTATTATGTTGCGTTGAGAAATTTAGCCTCGATCAGTTCTCACTGGAATTTTTAAACGTTTATAAATGAACGAAACAATGCCTCTAATTTCGTTAAACTCTGAACCTCCATCTGATTTTATTACGTGGAGTCGCCTCTTAAATTTCCTCCAACCTGTTGCTAAACATACCATACATACCTATAGTAACTATTGTATAACTCGAAAATTCTCGTGTTTGTACAGTTGTCTCCCTATTGATAATTAGATGATAGTTGTTCTATTGATAGTCTATTATTATTTTCAAATGCCTAGAAACGCTAGGTTCCAGTACCATTATAGGCTAAACTAGTATTATAAATTGTGTTGATTTCATATTGTGAATCTCAGTTTACAATAATTATCGCTAAACGTTGCGTGGATGGTATCAAGGATAGGATTAGAAAATCTAGCGAGAAACGACAACAGATTCGTGTTTCTTGATGCGTATTAGCCGGCCCAAATCGAGCGGGGAATTTCGCAGTTACTATACATAACTGGAGGCAATAAAGTGCAATAAAGAAAGACAGTGTTTGCAGGACAGGACGTTACACAAGGTACCCCGGATTTGATCGACAATGCACTAAACAACCACTCGACTTCAGCCCTTTCAGACAGGTGATTACGCACAATTACTGTTTCAACAGTGGCCAAATTATAAAATGTGCTCAAAAAGTATTGAACAGGGAGAGCTCTCTGTTGCGTACTGTTTAAGGTGGTTCGTACCTGACTCTCTAGTTAATAAAGCATCATATTAATAATTGGTATTAAACACTCGCTAATACATTTTAATAATGTATAAAAATTACATCTATAAAATTCAACGACATTTCCATTCATTATTCATCATTATATTGTAAATAAAAAATATATTTTAGTTAGTCGTATGACTCCACTGTGCTCGTTTCTGGTATGTTTGGCAACGTTGTTTTTGTGGTGTGTGTTCAGTTTTCTCGCGAAGTTAATATTTAATATTCTTATATGTAAAGTTAATTATATTCTCGTGCATTATAATTGAGAAAATTAGAATTCACTAGAACACAAAATAAGTGAAATACTTTTTAAATGTATTTGTATTTCGCGGGTATGACCTTACTTCAGCAACGTTGCCAAGTCCTCCACATAGTCCCAATAACCTACATATCCTGGACTTTATTGTAAAATATCTTCCTGGAATGTTCGGCATGGTATAAGATTTAGTTCATTATCCGAAAGCTCAGGATTTATACTTTCAGTACCTAATTTTTAGTTAGCAATTCTAATTTTTGTAAATAGAAAAGATTATATTTCCGATAAGAAATCGTAAGTCTGCCATAAGATCTGTGTTGAAAATTCAATTTTTGATAAGCTTTTTCTTATTTATTTGATCGACGACCGAGTCTCAAATTTTGTGTGCGTGTGTATTTCGTTCTAATAAACAATCTGTATGAATCGTATTTAATTACCTGGTCTTTCGAATTTGGCACGAACCACTTTAAATTGCTCATCATCAGTTTCTTTCTTATTATTGTGCCAGAAGCGAGGTGTAATGATATTTCGACTGCGGATCTCTGTGGAAAATAACATTTTATAATCTAATTCATAAAGCCAGAATTATAAGCTGAAACTGCTTTTTTCTCTTAGGGAGTTTATCGGTTTAACCATAAAATAAAATATACATTATACCTCATGCAAGTTTTGTCTTCTATTGCATTTCACATTATACCTTTATACGGGGTGTCTCAGAAAAAATAAATCGAATAAAAGAAATACATTTTTTTCGTTAAAGGTTTTGTTTTCGAGATAATTGGGTTTGAATATTAATCTGAAACGCGTGTATTCGTGCTGGTAATAAGTTAAGACGGCTTGCAATGAACAGACGCGTTAGCCAAGTCCTATTCTATTGACTGTGTACTTATCAGTGATGGGCGATATAGTATCACTACTTTTCAATTCAAATATCGATATTTTTTATCGATATTTAATGTGACACGATATATTCCAGTATCAATACTTAACCCATAAATATCGAAATTTCATTACAATCGCTGCATGTGCCGTAACGTAATAGGTCGTAAGGAACGGACCAATCTCGTTTTCCATGTTTGCGATTGGTGGATTCCTTTACCACACTGTTACCTGAGAATCGGCCTTATTTCATTGCATTTATTTTCATTTTTGTATTTCATTACTTCTAATTTAAGTGCAAGTATCGATAAAAATAATATCGATATTTTATTCCCGATATACATGTGTATCGATACTCTGCGACGTATCGATACCAAATATTGGTACAATTCAAATGTATCGCTATCACTACCGTGTAAGGTAAATGTCCCAGTGGTTGGACACGTCCTGGTGATTGGACACTATCGTGAATTTTCAAATAATAATAGCGAACTTCAGGATAGAAAATAAATAATCTTAGTTATTTCTTATCATAAATCATATAAAAATGTTCGCAAACGCGCAATGTATTATTTAAAAAAATATTATTATTTAGCAATCATGAACTTGAGGCGACATGAATGCCTTCGTAAATGTTTCGCTAACATTGGGAGCGCATTTCTTGAGCTCGTAAGTAATAAATAATTCGTATGTTTCTATTAAATAAAGGTTTCTTGAACTTATTAAAGTCTCCAGAATTGACTACAACTTTGTTTTAATACAATATTTTTCCTTTAATGTCGAAATTACCGAGTTTATTGACTGGTACATGAGAATGTTGATTGCGTAGTCGTTGGACGCTTGTCCAGTCTCTCGAGCTGCATCGAGCAGAGAGTTAATGTACGACTTAAAAAAATTATTTTCGTTATATTACAGTAGATATTTTTGTATTTTTTATATCAATAACGTTATTTAATTTTGAAAGTTCATAGCTTTTTTTTACATGTTTCATACATAAATAGAATATTATTTTGACACAACCATAACCTAAGCCTTTCGCGTACTGAATATTTATTAAAAATCACTTTTTTTATTTTATTTCTTTTGTTTCGGGAATTTTTTATAACAATAAGACGTTCAAGAAGAAGAATGGAAGAAGCGTATTAAAAAAGAAAAACTAGAATAGAAAATAAACAAACATTTGCTGCCAAGAAAGTTGCAAAAACTGTTAAAAAAATCAAAAATGAAAAATGGATTGCTGTTCATTTTGTTATTTTTGTTGCATTTTGTTTAATTTTGTTTAATTTTGTTTAATTTTAATTTTGTTTTATTTAAAGTATATATTTTCTATAAAACGTTTATAATAGACCAAAGTTAAATTTACTATGTTTATTTTTAATGTACAATTTCCTAAATGTATAAAGATAAATGTTTAAAAGCTTTTACCATATATATAACACATACATAATAATAGAATGCAATTTTCTCTTAATGTTACTTAGTTATTAATTTTTATTATTTTATTTATTTATAATTTTGTTTCTTTTATTCATTACATTAAATTAAATTTGATACGGTTTTATTTGAATTCTTACAACATAAAAGACAAGTATCGTGTTTTACTACTAAAAATCAGCTATGAATTATTTATTGAATGTTATGTCCAAACACTGGGACAGCTAAATTCAATCACTAGGACATGCCATAAATTCCGTCCAATCACTCGGCCAAAGTAACGCTTTTCGATATTCATAAATTTTAATACTTATTTTCACGTGAACGCTTTCTTATAACGACTTGTCTGGAAGAAGAAGTTTTGCTCTATCGATTGAATGTACTTTTGTGCCAATCTATATTATTTTAATGTATAAAAAGTCTTCGTAACCGCAATCTTCGCCTTAAACGTCCAACCACTGGGACATTTACCTTATCCAATCAATTTTCAAGTTCAAAGATCTAGAAAACGAAGCATCACCCAAAAAAATGTTATTCTTTTGTTTTTCAACTTAATGTTTCTTATAGAATCACCTCCTGCCCGGTTGAACTATCCGACCTGAGACACCCTGTATGTATAGTGTGATTCATCTAACTCTGCCACCTAAATTACTTGTAACCTGTTCGTTATATGAAAAAATGTTTCGAACGAAAGTCGTATAGTATAAAAGGGGGCACACAATGTGGTAATTAGTTGTTTTATCGATATATGAACGTCACCTTGAGTTTTTTTAATCGTAATGTTTAAAATTTGATCCTGGAATTGGAAAGAATGTTGAACACTGAGTAAAAAACTACATATCAGGGTATTGGGATTTACTCATTTACGTCACGCAATCTGGTGGCGAAAAATATAAGCAGTCAACTATCCCTTGTGACATACGGAGTTAGTACCGCTTTTGGTCATTCGAAGTACAATTCTTTGTTTTAACACGTTAGATACGCTACATATTTCATTGAAAAAAAATGGAAGATACATCGGGTGTTCGGTTTCCACCAAAAGAAAACAAAAGCAAGATGTAGTATTGTGTATATGGGTGTAGCAGCAAAGCTTGTATCGCCCTTGCGACTGCGGTTCCGAAAACATTCACCTTTCGGTTTTGATGAAAATTGGTAAAATTGTCTCAAATACTCCCAAATAAACAAAAGATTTTTTGGCACATTTGAAAATTAATATATATATATATATATATATATATTGACAGCGTAACGCGACCGCTCCAAATTCGAGCATGGAGCGTATTGCGTATGGAACTGGACCGCTCTCCGCTCCGCAAAACGCCGCTCACACACGCACTCGCAGGCACACGAGCGCTCCTAGAGGAATCCCGAGAACTTGCGAACATTTAAATAGCGACTAACCGCGTCCTTTACCGCGCCGAGCAACTGCGCACAATTACAGGGCCGTTGCAAGCGTGAGGCGACACCCGACTCCGGAACAGTTTTCCCCCACCCCGACCAGGAGCTGCTATGGGATATTGGACATCGGCCGAGCATATTGGATATTTGGGATAAGGGTCTCCCGCCCTTCGAGAGGACCACACCGCCAACCAACGGTGGAGGAGCCGATCTCGTGAGGCGGCCGGTTGACTGCGGAGGAAGCGAACATCGGCACCAACGGAGTAGGATCACATTGGCAGTGACCGGCGCCTCCCTCTGCACAGGACTCCCAACGGAGGTGCCTGCGGGAGAAACCCATCATTGGGGAGTACAAGCGCGTCCAGGGGACCAAGCGCCGTACTCCAACCCGACTCCAGGGGAGTCAGAAGTGAATACATTTTAAAGGGGTTGAAAACGTGGATGACTTGCCAGCGAGAGAATTAATCTAGGCGACGTCATCAAACGGGGTTGCAGCGATCGTTCGTATTTTTCAACGAACCTTTACTCTAACATTGCGTGAAGCTCAGGTTCTGCTACGCAGGATGGGCATAGACATAAAAATGAATTATGGATTCACAATCTAAAAACCCCTTCTATCCAAAAAGCATATCACAAAATGACTGGCGTGAGCACAAGAAAATTTGACCAAGGTTCTTAGCACCATTATCATCTCAAGCGGGGCTTACTTCTGAGCATGGGCAGCCTTGAGAAAGGCCTGGTCATTTCCAGCTGATAGGAACATTCAGCATACAGTTAAGCATTCGATCAGAGTGTTTACGGAAGGGTGGTTTTGGTATTCTTTTCCTCTTTACCGACAATATGAATGCTGAAAAGATGTACCAAATCTATCGGAAATGCTTGTTGAAGTCTGCTGAGAAATGGTTTGTACAAGACAGAATTAACTGGGAACTTCAAGAATACACCGGCCCCAAGCATCGCAACCGTCTTTAAAAACGGGGGTAAACATTGAAATACGGGAACGCGGAAAGCAGCACGCGAACGCTGTTGCTTCGCGAGATATTCCGTACACAACGTCGCATGAACGATTTTGTGTCGCGAGATATTTCGTACATAGCATCGCATGAACGAAATCACGTGGCATTGAATGAAATGTGACATTGACCATTCTTTCCCGAACTCAGGATTCTTTGGCCTTAATTTTTCTGGCCTGTGCCCATTTTTTGCCATTAATTAGGTCTAAGGGAAAGTTCTGTCCGATTTTGAATTAAAAGAAAATAATTTATTAATATTCCATCATTACTAATGACCTCTTCCCAGGCTGATGGTAATTTGTGGATTCCATTTCTGTAGAATGACTCATCTTTGGATAACGTGTAGACCTAGTATTATACTACAGTTTGATAGCTTCCCCCAAACTCTACCACATGATGCTCAAATCTCAATTTCGATTTCGAATGGACTATGATCGTTTTTCCCCTGGACACTTCATTTCAAACAGTTTCTGAATCACAGTGGACAACATTTCGAGCAGTTGCTACATTAGTAAAATGAATCTTGAAAAGTAATCACTTTATACTTATTTACGATAACATTTTACCCAAATACAGAGTGGAAGAAACTGATAGTACAAATCGATAGTAAGTAAGATAATAGAAATGATAGGAAGTAACTCATGACATTGATCGTGTTTACACGTACAAAACACGGGCTGGAACAGCAATCTATACATACAAAGATCCGTTAGGTTAAGACTTGGGGTAAAGGTTAGTCCATGTGTACGTAACGGATATTCATAGACTTTTTCCTCGAAATTAAAGCGTCATAAGCGAAAACTTGTTGTACTACTCTTTTGTATAAATCGTTGGGTATTAATAACTTTAATGGTTAACGACAAAGAAGGCGAATATATTACATGATTGTCTCCTGAGTGATCATTATAATTTCGGAGATACTTTAAATAATTCGTTAAAATGATGTATTATTATTCTTACTTATTATTTATAATTGATTACTTCTATAATATTATTAACTATAAATTGTTTGTAACATTATCGTGAACAATTTTTACGTACAAATTACTGTGATTATCATATTGTTTACTTACTCCGTTTAAAGGTAATATTATTTTAATCGCGTACGATAATAACACAATATAGTTAATGTAAACAATACAAATGAAATAAAAAAACAAGAGTATATTCATATTATCGCAACGGAAACTTCTTCAATCATTTGATGACATTATTCCGATGAAAACGTGTCGAAACATACCATAAATTGGATGATTTCATTAGATTTTATCGAATCAAGGCGCTCCTTGGTTTATTGCAAAACTTTTCAATATCTGTCTAGATCTCAAAGTTATTCGATTTGTGCTGTGTCTGGTTTAATTTTCATCAAGAATTGATCGAATGATCGACGACATTTCTGTAATGATATCATGAGAAACAATAGAATTTAATATTCTCTATCTGAATCACTCAGGTCACGTGCTTTTACCGTTAATTTCGACTGTAAGTCACCGTGCGTAATTCGAATAAGATTTTCTACTTGTTATTCCATCCCGTTCGCTTTCGCTGTAGCTACAAAACGTGACGGTCCTTCGTTGACACTTATTAGTGCGAGACACTGGGATCTGATTTATTCGCACTAATTCCAACCTTACAGTATCAACTTCCAGAACTGATTCACAAAATACCAATAATAATGATCATAAAAGAAATGATTAATTAGAACAATTTGTTATAATATACCCAATAACAATTTCTATTGTAGCAACATATTGGAGGAATACATACATGTTATTAGATGACTTCTGCTTAATTAAACTGAATCAATATTTAATTACACTTACTAAAATGGTAATTTTCTTAGGCTTCCTCGTTCGTTCGTAGTATGTGGTACGAAAACAAATTCAGGCAACATTCCTTTGATTTACAGTGAATCATAATGAACTCTTTCGTGTAAACATCTTCTAATAATTTGATGATAACATACTTTTTGTATATATCTTATAAAAATATAAGTCTACTATACTCTACTAAAAGTTGCCTAAGAAAAACTTGTGGCTTCTATAACGTTTAAAAATACAAGAGTTACGTCTGATGTGACTTTTAAATTAGTGGTAAATTTTCATTCATTGATCTCTCTTCAAGCTTTTTTTTCTCAATTGCAAAAACACAGTTGACTCCCGTTGAACGAAATATAATTAATCATATATTCAACAACATGTAATGTCATTTCTTCAGGGTAAGAGTATTGTGTCCTAAAACTTTTTAAGGTTCCGATTTCAGCGACCAGTTTCTGAAAATTTCGGCCAATAAATGTACGCACCGATGCTTAATTTGAGAGACTGTGGCATTTTAACTCGTCAACTACAATTCTAAAAAAAGTTTAGCTTCCAGTTTCATTGGTTTCCGGTTATTTTAAGTGAGTAACACATCCTCACGATACGATCAACGCAATATGTCACCTAACTTTCCGTTCACGCTAATAAGGTGTAAATGGAAAATTCAATGTCGGTCATCGGTGGCCGTAAATTAAAATAAAAAATAACAAAAATATCTAATATAAAATAAAAGCAAGCTAATTACGAGGTGTTCTGGCGTCAACAAATTTTCGAGCTCTCTAAAGACGCACTAATTTCCTTTATTCGACGCTATCCAATTTCTTTCTGTACGATCCTTTCGATGTTCTCTGGTTTCAAAATATTGTCAAGGTCTCTAAGAACGTGACAGTTTCCTTTATTCAGTTCTGTCCGATTTCTTTCTATATGATCTTTACGTTGTATCACACGCTGTCCAACTGGTAACTCAAGTTAAATAGACGAATGCAATGTTCATATCTAACGTGTTTCTACTAAATGGCATCTTCTTACTTACGTCATTACTAAACATTTTACGTTGTCGCTCAGATACAGATGCGGTCAAACTGTTGTAGTAGGTGAGTGCAAAAGTTCTGGTAGATTTTGCTTTCGAAAAGTAGACTAGTAATAATTTTAGTTATATTTTAATAACAATTTAACGAAATACTTAATGATCTTTTTATAACGTATGTTTTTTCAGTAAGAATTTTCACTCTAATGTATATACACATTTTTTGAATATTAATATTATTATTCCACTTATATAATTAGGTTATATTTATAAATTTACAGTTCACCATAAAGTGGGAGTGACAATAAAAGCTTTTCCAAACAGATGATAAATGTTTTTCACAGTACTTCGTAACGTGTTTCTCTTTTCATTTCAGATTTCACTTCGAAAGCTTAATATCCAATTTAGTATTGTATTACATTGACATCAATGCACAATATACAAGTTGTTTCCGAAAAAGCGGTACAACCCGAGAAAAAGTGATTCTACATGGAAAAATAAGTCGAAAATGTAGAATAAAATTTGTTCGTACGATACTTTGTTCTCGAGATAATCGAGTTTGAATATTCATTGAATACGCATGCTATTTAATAGGACTCCAATAAGTCAAATTATCTCGAAAACGAAGCATCATATGAAAAAACTTTATTTTACACTTTTCACTTATTTTCGCGCGTAGAATCACATCTTCTCGGATTGCACCACCATTTCAGAAATATAATTGTTTCCACAAAACCACGACGATCATATTATACAAGTGGTTGCTTTTCGGCCAAACTGTAATTTCACCGTATCTTTTTCATAACTCTTGTCAGGCCCATATCTGTTCCAACCAGGAGAAGAGATTATTTTTATAAAAGCAAAATTTTTAATATCACGGAATCTGAGAAAGCAACGTATCCTCGATTTTATTATATCAAGAGTTTATTATAGATATTTTAAAAAAACAACAAATATGTTGAAATCACAATCAAACCGGTGACTTTTGGCAGCCCACTGTATATCAAACGCAGAAAATCCACCGAAACTTTTGCACTGACCGAATACATTAATAAACGTATAGAGGTGCACGAATTTTCAGAATGGTCCGGACATTTCGAGTCGGGCGAAAACAGCCATAGTTTTTTATTTCCACACGTCACACGCACCATGGTCTTTGTCGGGTCCTACTCACCTTTTCGTCGAAACACCGTTTCGAGCAACGCCATATCGTCGCAACACACTGGTCCCTGGCGGGCGGATCGTGAGACTAGAAACTGTACTCTTTTTCAGATTCACGCTCGTTTGCCCGCGCACTGCATCGCTGATCGCTACACGTCAAGTGTCACGTACTGGCCGTAGCCGTGTATCATTGTCGACTACGCTTCGGATAATAATCGCCCCTCCACGCTCTATCCTTCTCTATGCGGCCGGCAGCACTTAATTTTTTGCGGGCTTGTGCAAATCTTAGACCGCTGTTAAAGTTCGGCCCGCCGCGGATAAACATTGGACGGAGAGAGGAATTCTATTTCTGAAAAACTCTATCCTATACAGGGTGGTCAAAAAGAAAAGGGTCTTTTGGTGCTTACAGTCCTCACATCCAAACCTGGGCACTTCTCAAATGATGTTATTTGAAATATTATTTCAAATTACATGTAATTTTATTTCATAATTATTTCCATTCCTGTGATCGCGTCTGAAATAACATTATTTAAAATATTATTTCAAATAACGTGTTATTTCATTTTCTATCATTTGGAATAATTCTTAGAAATAGTTGTGAAGCTTTCTTCGAAATTGTATCAGGTGATTAGATCTGAGTCTGATTTATTGACATTTTTCTGAGCAGTAACACCCCTCTTCCATCTTCCACACCAGTGGAACGGTTATTTTCTTTCGCGACAATATATTAGATGGACCCAAGCAAAAATCTCTCAGGAATGAGCTTTATGAAGAGCGGATTCTGCTTAAAGCAAATTGCTGTAAATATTTCTTAAAATAAAATCTTTTCGTTGCATATTAGTTCGAGTATTATTTCTTTTGCCAAATTTGAAATACAAAAATAACAAAATATTGTAAGTAATTATTTGAAATTGCTATTGTTTTAGATGAATTGATAATATTTTTATTTTCAAATAACAGCAATGAAAATAAAGTTGAGAAATAAATTATTGCAAATAATTATTTCTTATTTTCATTTCAAATAAAATTTGCCTAGGTCTGCTCACATCAAGTAGAGAAAAAAAGTGTCTAATCAACATAGTGCCTAAATTCTATTTTTCTGTGAATACAGAAATTGTTACGCATATTCCATATATATGTTCCTTGCATTTCAATTCAAAACATAAATCTGCGGATTATAGATCGACGTACATTTTCAAACATTCCTTCTGTATCTCGTATTGCCTGTTGGTCGTATAACCTCGAAGTAAAATACTACTAAACTAATTCTTCTGTTTACGTTCAATATGTTGCGAAATGACTCACTCATTCACGCCATCGAACGCTCGTAAGTACGAAAGTTGACATTACGTCGAAAGGGTTGATATTAGGACCTATGTTAATCAGATATTTTTTACTCCATTCCGTGAGTACTGTAAATGCCTAAAGGCTTGGAGCCTTTTTTTGAAAACCTTGCATAGTAAAGTGTGTGCGCGAGAGTATATGAGCCGTTTCTTTTTCTTTTAAGTGGTACAAGTTCACTTTTCTCTATTCTGAGGTATTTATTGTTTTGCATTTTACTCTATTTAAAAATATTGTTTGAAGTTTGTTTTACGCTCTTAAAATTCCAGAAATGTTCAATTTTATTGTGCGGCCATATTTTGTAAATATATTCTTTAAGTAGAACAGTGTTTTTGTTAACCGCGAACGGACTTATACCACTGTCAAAAATAATAAACTGTGGAAAACGTGATCAATAGCAAATTTAAATTTATATTTCAATTGAAGTAAACTTTTCTGAAATGTAATACGAAAATATAAATAATAATAATTCTAATGAAAACAACAAATGATTTGTGAAAATTTTATTACAAGTAGGTATAATAGAAGAACAATTTGAAAACAAATGAAAGTACAATCATTAGAGATAGACAATATTAATAACTTTTACTCATATTTCATTCCTTTTTGCTTCGTGGAATTTTTCTTGAAATATTCGTGGAAAGTAAATGGTCTTACACCATTCTTATTATTAACTATACCAGACTTACACTCTGCCAAGGAAACTATTTATACAATTCCATTTAACAGCTAAACTTCTTTTGACTAATTCGTAAGCATATTGTACGGTATTGATTTTGTTATTATGACTATAAAAAGAAGACATCCACCTGTAACTAACTAGTTTTAACAGATTTTGTTTGCAAAATCAGACTTATACCGCTTTTTTTAAAAACGGCTCATATGTAAATGCACAATATCCCAGGAATGGTAGGAGTAGCTAGAGCACCTGTCCATCCCGTAAAATTTTTTGTCTGATCGGTGAATCAAGTACTAGGGAGATTTTTAAAATTTTTTTTAGAAAGTTTTGTTCAGGCTGGGTTTAGAGTTAGGACGTGATCTTGTTACCGCGATTTAATTTGTAAAATCCACTGGACGAAAGAATGTGACAAAAAAAAGTGGTTATAAAATTTCGAAACTGTTAAGTATAATTTCTGTTGGGAACTTTGTGTGTGAAAATATATAACATGCGCCCGAAATTGTGCTCCAAACGAGTAGGATGTGATTCGTTCTGCAAAAACCAGTCAAAAGCGCAGAATACATTTTTTTCACCAAGATTTTGTTTTCAAGAGATATGATTTTAAAAATCTTCGACTTAGCCAAAATGACTGTTCATTAATCACTGTTTCTACATATTGTAAGCACAAATGCACAACGTATCAGATAAATTTTCAACGTCGATTTTATCGAAAAATAAGCCTCAAACGAAAAAACTTTAATTTGTATTTCTTTTTTATTAATTTTCGCATAAGGAATCGTTTGCTACATGTTTGTACACGTGGTACATCATGCATGAATCATTTGCCATCAGTTTTCCACGTAAACATTGTGACACTTCGATTTACAAAATACGATGTTAACAAGTCATTGAAAACGCTTTGCAGAAACTTGTTTATTCAAAGGTATCCAGGTTGTTTAAAAATTGAAAGTTAATGAACTACGAAAGCGAGGTATAAAATAGGACAAGAAATAGATTAATTGTCTGTCCTTTAGAAAATTGCTGCTCGTAGTTATGTTCCCATGTATAAACTCTACCCTTTCACTTAATGACAATATTTATGAACAATAATGTCAGCACAAGAGTCTCTGTTGTAATTACCAAGCCTCATACACAAGTAACTCATAGTTATGCTAATACCTTAATACACAGTTAGAAAATATGTAATTTTCTTGGTGTCAACGTCCAATGACTGTAATAGATACACACGTACAGTGAACATATAATTAATTAGTTCTTCATTCACAAACAAGTGAGAACAAAGTAACTCTGAACATGAAAAAAGTATGAAGTGTTTACTTAAAGAAATCGAATTTTCTAATAAACAACGATACAATAGCTTGTTGTAAACAATTAAAAATTGTTCGAACGTAGTTGTTGTTTCTGTACTCATGTTTAGCGACCAGTTAGTAAGACATTGCTAACAATTTCACGAAAACGTGCGCAAGAATTTTGAAATTTTTAGTGATTCATCGACACAACGTATGGAATATTTCAAAGTGTTTGTGAGTCATCCGTTTTCTGTTTTCACGCTCGGTTGTGTGCTATCTTACGACTGATACAGATTTGATTCTGAGATTCAAAATATTGTACCGTTTACCTATCCCGAATATACGAAAAATAAATTTAGGTTTCATTATCATTTGGATAAATTGGTCGACAAAATTGTGAGTTTGTAAAATCATTCACAATTTATTTATTGCACGAAGTGTGGTGAAGTTCGTCGCATAATCGTATACAAAGTAATTCCTTTTAAACAATATAAAACAAAATAAAACGAAATTTTATAGTAAATTTATTTTCAATCAGAAGTCGTTTATAAATAAAATTGAATTTGAACATTCCCACAGTTCGCGCGCTTTAAATAGGACTGACCAATGTGTCTGTCCTGCACTGACTGTTTCTGCTTACGATAAACAGTAATAAGATATTAATTGCTCTTCGTCGGTTATATTGCGTTTCAGTTACAAAGTTATACCAAATCACTACCAAAAACAAGTAATATAGCCTTACTATCTATAACACATTAACACAAGTATAAATAACCCATAATATAATATGTAGAATAAAACACTATAACCAAATCGAATTCAATCGTGAGCATATTCGCAAATTTTCAGATTCGAATGATTCGAAAAGAAAGCCTCAAATAGAAAAGTTTTTATTTTACGTTTGTTTTTGCAAATAAAATCACCTTATTACCATGTATAGTATATTTAATATATCATTAATTTTTCGAATTTCTATATTTTCTTCTGATATCTTCAACTTCAATTTTCACTGTTTACTTGAAAATATAAAGGATTACATTTTCATTTTAACCACGTGTTATGGGAATTTAAATTCAGGTTGGTATTTTTGGATTGTTGGCTTTTGTAAACAAATTTATTATGTATTCCGTAATCAAACAATTTTAAAGTTCAAAATTCCATCATGAAAGAAAAGACTTGTCACTATAAACTGAAATGTTAAAATTTTTTTTTATTTCATTAGCGATAAATAGGATCGAATTATATAAAATAAATTCCTTAGTGAAAACTCTAAATTTTTGTAAAAAATATACAATATCTGTACAAGTTATATGCTTTTAATTTTAAAACATGCACTACCAATACTTTTAAAACTTGGGAGTTAATTTGATAGTTGGATTTATATATGTATTAAATTTGTTTGAATGAATTGGATAAGTGACAGACGGACAGTGTTTGTCTAAAAAAAATTAAGAAAATTTATCTGTATTGACGATAACATTAATCACAATATGTATCATCATTTACATCCTGTGAAAGCTTGACGCTGTTATAACTTACCCTTATCCCTTGTACACAGTTCGATATGTAAATAGCGTCACCTCAGTGTCTCGATGAAAACACAAATTTTATTGATTAACTTTGTATCGCTCATTTTGTATCTTACGCCGTAGCCGCTGACTAGAATTTAGACCGAAGCAATATTTTCTTATGTACACGTACAGTGACAGATCCAATAACATAAATCAACCTGTTTCGAGAAGGCGAAAACAATGAATAGGCGCGCTCATATTAGTTAACACGCGTTTATTTACAGTTTCACTTGCCACTTTCTTCCCTCCAAAAGCGAACGCCAATAGTAAAGCGCCCGTCGATACATTCCGGTGACACA